TAATGAGAGTAGAAATTATTCAATAATTTTAAATTATTTTCTAATGATTAACTCAACAATGGAAAAGTAATCCAGTAATAAATACATGTCTTCATTTTAAATGTTCGAACTGCAGTCCTTGCTGTATTTGACAGTAACCTAAAAGTTGAATAAATTCTTTTTGAACCTTGTTNTGAAATTTTGTTGTGAAATGTAGAATAATAAAATAAGAAATCGAAGCGTTTCAGATTTTTGTAAGACGACCTTTGTTTTGGAAATATCGAATTTATGATTGCCGTTCTTGTGATATGGTTATCACAAAAACAGTAAATCAAATTTCATTTCTCAAATATTTGATTTCGGTCTTATTGAAATCCTTAATGCTTTCAGGGCGTTACTTTGGCTGATATTGATGTAAAAAATGGAGAGCAAGCTCGAAAAGAAATGTCTGCCGAATTTGGAAAAAACAAAGTTATTTTTGTCGAGACTGATGTATCCAATAAAGATCAGTTTGAAGGTGAGTATTGTAGACATTATTGGTTGTTTCGAATGTTTTGTCCGTTTCATGAGTCTATTTCAAACTGTGATATCTCATTGAATACTTGTTGAATTCAATCGAAATAAGCGACATTTTGTCAACGTAACACAAGTCTATTGATTCCGTCAGCATAAAAATTCGGTGCTGGAGATTAGATGAAGTCAACAAAGACCATTTTGGCTAGTCCGAAGGTTCACTGGTGAGAAAAGTGCCTGAAAAGATGTTAGTCGGTTGGTGAAAGGTCTGGGGGGTATGGTGGGTGAAGCAGACGCTCAATTCGAATGGTGACTCGTAAAACGTGTGGACGCACGTTTTCGTGGAGTAAGATCGAAATACCTGTTGATCAGTGCCGACTGCTACTGACGAAATTTTTGACACATTTCGTCGATTTTCTCACGATAGAACTCGTTTTGGTTGCGCAAAAGCAAAGAAGAACAGACTTCGATACGTGACAATTTCTATCGATCGTTCAAATTATTGGGCACCCACTTCCCTAGCTTTTTGACTTCTTCAATGCATTTTCAACCATCAAAAACCGCATGGGAGCTGACGTCCAGTTCTTGAGCTATCTCTCGCCCCATTTGTGATTTGTCAGTCTTCATCAGGGTTCTTAAATTCTTGTCCAGGATTACTGTGGATCCTCTATTTCGGGGCTCATCCTCGAGGTTGAAATCTCCGGAAAGAAGTTTCGCAAACCAACGTCAAATAAGGCGTTCATTAACATTATCATTGCCAAATGCATGGTTGATTTTTCAGTCTGTTTCGGCAGCGCTTTGGTTCAATTTGGATTCAAAGAGAAAAATTAGCTGAAAATCGCTCAACGACATAATATAGTAATGAGCTGAAAAGAGGCAAAAATCATTGTATTGATTCATATGCAGTGTTTTTGGGAATGAGTCAAATTTATTTGAAGAAAAACAATTCAATATTTTCATCCTGATCAGTTCTCCCAATATTTCAAGATTTTTTTGTATTCAATTATACTTAGGATTTTAAAGCCGTTATTTAAGAACTACTTCGATTCAGAAAATTGAATTAGGAAAGCACCTATNTTTTATTTGAATGATTAGACCAAATCGAACTTCCTATGAATTATTTGAAACTTCAAGACATCTATGGACATCTATCTTTCAATTATTAAGGTAATACATTCGAATTAAAAATCTATAGTTGTTTTCATTATTTTCATCTTTTCTCTCATAGATGGCAGAACATAGTCTACTGAAAAGTTGAAGTTAGTGAATTGTAGACGACAAAACCCATCTACTAACTATATTGCGACAAGATGAATTTTTAACTAGACCACAAATATATATTCGACTTCAGGTATTTAAAATCTTATTTTCAGTTTGTCGAGAACTATTAATTGTCGGATGAAATTGGTTATCAAGAGAATAAAATCAGGGCTGGTAGGCAGTAGTCGAATGGAACCTAAAGTACCAAACGTTTCGTCTGCTACTGAGACAGACATCATCAGTGATATGTGCGTTCACTGTGAGGACGAAAGTTATATCTCGTAGTCTTAGTAACTTACTGAGAAGTATTCGAAAATATACCCCTAACAATTGGTAGTCCAACCCATACGAAAAGGCTTCGAAACTGTTTTGGAATGAACCACAATATACCTAGGATGCTTTGAGATGCTCTCGAATATTTGTGACGCCCTGTATATGTCACAATTTCAATTACCAATACAATTTCAAAAGAAAAAATAGTTGCAAGTCCAAAGAGATTTCGAAATACGAAATATCTCAATGTATCAATAGTTGAACCATCCAAATTCGCGACATAATCCAAAAATGCAAAACATTTCAGAAGACTGAACCTTCCACTGTGCCGAAATGTTTCTAAGAATCCACATTTGTTGAAGTATCAAAATTCGGAAAAAAATACAAATAGAAGAAATTTCAAAAGCCGAAATTTTTCAAAGTATCCACAATTGTTAAAGTATCAAAATTTGGGAAAATAATTCGATTGTGATAGGGGCTGGCTCATTCTATCCTTGAAGTCGACAGGGCACCAGCATATGCCTTCCTAGCTTTTATAACAGTAGAGAAGGCGGGGTTCATATGAAAGTTCCTAATTATTAGGGTACCGCAGGGTTTACCTTACCATCCAGTGCCTTTTCGTAACGATCCACTCGCGAAACCTAAAAATAGTGGAACACAAAGATGTCGAGTATCTAGAAATTCAACGGGTAGGAAAGTCTAGTGAAATCAAAATATATCTACAATCCACCGACACTGTTTATTTTCACCCTCATAGCACGAAAATCCTGCTTACATAACGGTAGGCGGTAACTGTAGTACCTAATGAGTAAACAGTCAGGAACATTCAGAATGGAATGAATGGAAACATCAGAGATCAGAGTGACAAAATGCGATGAAGTTACAGTCAGGGGGAGGTTACTATGGTATGCCCGTATCAGGTTTACAGGATCCACGCTTTAAAAAAAACATTATATTGCGTGGTTAGGGCGATACTTCAATAGAACAGTGTTCGACAGACCCCAAAAAACTCTAGCCTATAAATAGTAAAAATAGGTGAATAAACTATTGATATATAGTTCAAGTAACGGGTCCCTTGTAGGATCATCCTTTGAATTGACAATTTCCAAATACTTTTAATGGAACTATGACCCACTGAGAGTCTCAAAACGCGAAAATGTCGAAAAAAAACTATTATCCGATATAGTCATAACCGGTTCAGTTGAAAATAATGATCGAATACCAGGAGTAGACATCAGTAATGGTACTTGCGGGGCGGTTTGCAGTCCCTGTGGATCCTATCTCTGCTTCAAAGGACGGCTCCTTTGTTGAGGGCCGAAAGGACTTCACTGGGCCACGAAGTCAATGTTTTGAACCCTGAACTAGAACCCTTCGAAAAGGGTAGAATTTTTCTCTCCTTACGGCTTCCGCAACAAAGAAGTCCACTGAGGTAAGTGAAATGGTCAATACAATTATCCAAGCGTGGTATATATGCAAAATGATCCCAGGTAATTTCAAATGCTGACAACTTGCTCAAGATTATACAGGCGAAGTGTAATCCTGGGGTCCAATTCCAGAAGGTATAATACAAAATTAACCTCAGCACCTCATCAACCTGTTGCATACCAAAGTCACGTTTCTCGTCGACGAGAAACAAAACTTTTTTCGTTTTCACTCTCGAAAGGTTCCCTTTCAGCCCGTTCTAGGTTGGCGTGCGCGCCACCTTAATAATTCAACCTGAAGAACTGCCCATGCCATCCAGCAGCGACTAGATTACTCACCTATTCAGCGAAAACAGTATGCTAGCAGAGTAGCCCTTCATTCAGACAGAAAACAGAGGGTGTTCTATACTAGGCTAATTTATGTCATGAAGACAATTACTGATTGTAAGTATCAAATGGGTGATCGATCTTCATGCGAAAAATAAACGTAACATATTCCAGATTACTCTTGAACAATCCAGAACATTTCGGAATGTTCTAATATGTTCTGGAATTTTTAGGAAAGCTTTAAAACATTCTAGAAATTCCTAGAGGGCGAAACTTCCGGCCCTCATATTTTCAATAGCACGCTCTTCAGGTAAACACTCAAATGTTCTTCTTGGATGCGAAATAGACGGGTGACATATGTATAACTCCTTTGATCGTTCCACGTTGATCAGGGATTTTTCAGGATGTTTCCGTATGTTCCAGATCATTCCCAATATTCCGGAATGTTCAGTGATAGTCTAGGTCTAGAATATTGTAGACATCTCTCGAATGTTCTGGAAATTAGTAGATGGAAAAACTTGTTGTCTGGTGTAAACGGAATGTTTCTCATAGATGGCGTGTTCCACAATGATCTGGGATGTTTCCAAACGTCTATTTCGGGACGTTGTGAAATGCTCTTGTGAACTCTCGAATGTTCTGAACATTTCAGAGGGCGAAACTTCAATCTTCACTCTTGAGATGGAAACGGAGATCTTCTTCGATGATGAGGAATAAAGAGAACCGAACCACATAACTCCTCAAATCATTTCGCAATGATCCGGGATCTTCTCGAAATTGCTGAAAATTCCATAATATTCCAAACTATTTCGAAATCTTCTAGAATATTGTGAAATGCTTCCAATTTCTCTCGAATAATCAGTACTGTTCTAGAATTTTCTGGAAGACAAAACGTTCATGTCTTACGGTTGTTATCTAGGTTAAAATGTAACATTTTTTCATGGACAATCTGTTATGCGATCCTAAGACGAAAAAAATGTTGACAAACTGAACTTATGTAAGCCGTACAAGAACTTCTGATAAAATTCCCCTTGCTTGGATCATTGTTTTCACTTCTCCAAGGTTTTCACTTACACTTTGAAGGTGTGGAAATCATACATTTTCAAGAGGTATCAAGTTACTTTTTGAAAATTCAGTATAAACTTGTGGTCTATGAAGATGCCAACTGCTCTTGCCCAAAAGAGAACAAATTACAATTCATTTCTAACTAACAAGTATTTTTTGCTTTAGAATGGCACAATCCATGGAACCTTCTTGGGGATGGAAAAATACCTGAAGAACTACAAGCAAGGCGAAGAAGCCGTTATAGTTAATACTTCGTCAGTTGCAGGATTGAGGGGAAACAACGCGTTTCCAGTCTATGCGGGAACGAAATTCGCAATCATGGGTACGACTAGTAGCTGGGGTAACTCATACCACTATGAAAGAACCAGAGTCAGAGTGGTATCTATTTGTCCTGGTGTCACAGCTACGTCTATATTAGAAACAAGAAATTGTGCCTATTCTAAAGATTACGTTGGAGCTTGGACATATTCCATTGATGATGCTATTGAAGACAAAAACTTGTGTCAAACGTAAGTGAGGGTCATGTTGGAAACTTTTTGTTGGTATCAACAATTTATTTTCCTCAGGGCAAAAGTAGTTTCGAAAGAGCTTGTCCGTATTTTGAAATATGCTAAAAATGGAACAGTATGGGTTTTGGAACAATCTAAACCAGCTTATGAGTTCAAAATGCCATTGAAAGAGAGTTTCTTAGGAAATGTTTTGGAAGATACTGACTAGTATATATAACGGTGAATATTACTGGAATTTTATCCCAACACCAAACCATCATTTTCAACACCTCGACACGTGTTTCAACCACCAAGTGGTTATCTTCAAGGGGTAGATTAATCAAATCAATCTTCCTCTTGAAGATGATCACTTGGTGATCGAGACACGTCTCGAGGTATCAAAAATGAGGGTTTAGTGTTGGGATAAAACTCCAGTAATATTCATTACTACAACAAAGATTCCAAACAGTGCATCATAAATTGAAAAAAGGCAAAAAATTAAATTTTGGAAAAAATAAAAAACCACTGCATGGAGTACAAAATTCTCTAGAGATTAGTATACACCACGACACGACATCACAAGTATATAACTGTGTTTGTAGATGATTGATCCAAATAATTGTTGTAAATTACTGAATATTATATTTCTTCGACAGATTAGTGATTGTATTTTTACATCTTCCTTTCGGAAGAATGAGCAATGAGACTCCAAATACATATGACATGATGTCAAGAATCGAACTTGATTTTTTCCAATGTCAATACAGAAATAACATAATGATTTTCCCTTATACTATGATGAGTTTAGAATATTTCACGACTAATTTTTCTACTTACTTCTAGCTGACGCAATCACTATTCCTAAAAAATATGATGGAAAAGTGTCCAGAAAACATTTTCTTTTCATTACTATTGCTCGAAAGAAGGGAAGCATTCAAATAGCAAATTTAGTAAACCACAGATGCATTTAATTTAATTATGAATCAATTCGAAATTTTTTCCTAATTTTGAAATAATGAATACGTTTGAACGTCCAATCAGACTAAAAATAAGCATTTGTACTAATTACATACTCGTATAACATTTGCTCCATACAAAACTTAGGTTTATTAAAAAGTAACGGGATAGAATATAAAATGAATGACTTGACTGACTTGGTGGATTATTATTAGTTCTGTATATAATCTATAATTGAATAGAACTGACCGATACTTGATGAAAATCCGTATTGAAAAACTAATTAATACAGTTTATTGTATAATTTTCACTAAAAAGGGTTTCACAAAAACCGCGACACTTGTTTCGCTATGTAATAGCTTCCTCAAGCATAAACTGAGAGTTACTTCTAAATTACAACTATTTTATACTCTAACCTGTTATGTTTTGTTTTGTATCGGAGTGGTTAAATAATAAAGCCAAGGTTTGGACACTTGTTGACTTTAATGTAATAATAAATACTTTTTGCATCAATCAGTATATACATCCAATGTAGGCCATTCAGTACTGGCCGGCTCGCAATATTCATTGACCGGTTTAGGGACGACCACCGAAGTGCGACGTTGTCAACTCAATTGTGAATACCAAATATAAAATATGTAACATAACCTATCACTTACTCGTCTGCCTAAATAATGAATCTACCTGAAAAATCAGGTATAAATTCATGAACTCAATAAATTAAATCAATGAATTTTTTCGAAAGTATAGCTGTAAATATACCTAACTATTTTTACCTGCAAATGAACAGATTCAATAATGGCAAGTTAGTCAATTCAGTTTGATCGTTCATAAGATGATGGAAGTTTTTGAATTCGTTTATTTCCATACTCTCCAACAGGTTAAGTTTCAAATCTTTATTCTGAAAATGGAGGGGCTTGTATTCATGGTTGACATCATGTACCTCTGAGATTAAATGAGTGGCATATGTGGAATGTATTTTTCCATTCTGGAAGCTATATTTGTGTTCCTTTATGCAGTCTTTGAACGCTCTTCCAGTTTGACCTATATAAAACATCGGACATGACCCACACGATAATATAAACACTCCTGATTTTTCTGAAACTGAACTTTTATCTTTGTTAATCTGAAATATTTGTAGTGGGTTGACAAAAGTAGGTTAAGGTTCTAGAACGTTATCCTTTTCTCTTCGAATTGGGTAAACTTCTTTCAAAGCTTGAATGCATACCTTTCTTGATAATAAAGAATGTATTAGACCGCTATCATAATTATTGTTGACGGCTATTTGCTTTATTATATTCAGTTCTTTATTGAAATTTGCCTCTGATAAAGGCACATTTAGCAGTCTGTGGACCATACTGTTGAAAGCTGCCGCCTTATGCTGATATGGGTGAGTGGACGAATTATGAATGATAATATATGTATGTGTTGGTTTACGATAATTTAAAAAATCATGTTTTTTGTTGTTTTTTGGACTCTTGTCAAGTCCAAAAAATTTATAGAGTCGTCTTGTTCAACAAATACAGCTCCTTCAGTTATAATACCCGAAAAACTCATTGAAATTATTCAAAACCACACTAATTTAAAATCGAAATTCAGTTTGAGGAATTCATACCATTTGAACAATGACATTCAAGATATTACACTCCCGGATAGTGCCAAATTGATTTCATTCGATGTAAAGAATCTGTTTCCCAGTATTCCTCCGAATGAAACGATCACTCTGGTAGATAGTCTATTGGACGAAAATATTAGACTTGCTTACGTTGTGTTTGCTACAAAATTACTTCCAATTCAATGATCCTTCTTACTCATCCTGCAAAGGTCTCATAATGGGAAACCCACTTAGTCCATTCTGACAGAGACTCTCATGGACGATTTGGAGAGAAGAATACACAGTAACCCACTGGTAAGAAGTTTCGTGTATTGGTATAGATATGTGGATGATATCCTGGTATGTTTCACAGGAACGAATAGACTGTTCACTAACTTTTTGAAGTGAATCCATTCTCTCCACCCTTCTATCACATTCACAATGGAGGTGGAACAGGAGGACTCTATAAATTTTTTGGATTTGACAATAACAAAAGTTAACAACATACATAATTTTTCAATTTATCGTAAACCAGCACATACAGATATTATCATTCATAATTCGTCCACTCACCCATATCAGCATAAGGTATCAGCTTTCAACACTATGATCCACAGACTGATAAATGTGCCCTTATCAGAGGCGAATTTCAATAAAAAACTGAATATAATAAAGCAAATAGCCGTCAACAATGATTATGATAGCGTTCTAATACATTCTTTATTATCAAAAAAGTTATGCATTCAAGCTTTGAAAGAAGTTTACCCAATTCGAAGAGAAGAGGATAAAGGTTATAGAACCTTAACCTACTTAGGCCAACCCACTACAAATATTTCAGATTTTCTGCACAGCAAAGGTGTAAATACTGCTTTCAAAACCAACAACAACTTAGGCATGCACATTGAGAATAACAAAGATAAAAGTTCAGTTTTAGAAAAATCAGGAGTGTTTAAATTATCATGTGGGTCATGTCCGATGTTTTATATAGGTTAAACTGGAAGAGCGTTCAAAGCCCACATAAAGGAACACAAATATAGTTTCCAGAATGGAAAAATAAATTCCACATATGCCACTCATTTAATCTCAGAGGGACATGAGTTCAACCATAAATACAAGCCCCTCAATTTCCAGAATACAGGTTTGAAACTTAACCTGTTGGAGAGTATGGAAATGAACAAATTCAAAAACTCTCTTTCTGAACGATCAAATAAAATTGAATAATTTGCCATTATTGAATCTGTTCATTTGCAGGTAAAAATAGTATATTTACAGGTATTTTTTCGAAAAAATGTATTGATATAGTTAATGAATTCATACCAGACCTTTTCAGGTAGATTCATTATTTAGGGAGACGAATAGGTAATAGGTTGGAGTATAAAATAGTTGTAATTTAGAAGTAACTCTCTATGCTTGAGGAGGCTATTGTATAGCGAAACACGTGTCGCGGTTTCTGTGAAACCCTATAAAGTGAAAAATTCCATTTGCCTTTTACAGATTGTATATTACGATTCCGTTCTGGTGATATGGTTATCACAAAAACAGTAAATCAAATTTCATTTCTCAAACATTTGATTTTTGTCTAATTAGAATCCTTGATGCTTTCAGGGCGTTACTTTGGCTGACATTGATGTAAAAAATGGAGAGCAAGCTCAAAAAGAAATATCTGCCGAATTTGGAAATAACAAAGTAATTTTTGTCGAGACTGATGTATCCCATAAAGATCAGTTTGAAGGTGAGTATTGTTGGTTGTTTCTAAAGTTTTGTTTTGTCATGAGTTTATTTCAAACTGAATGCTTATTGAATTCAATCCAATTAAGCGACATTTTTACAACGTAACACAAGATGATTAATTCCGTCAGCATAAAAATTGGATGCTGGAGATTAGATGAAGTCAACAATGACCATTTTTGATTGTTCGAAGGTTCTACCGATTAGAAAATTTTCGAGGTGCATGACAAGATGGTAGTCGGTTGGTGAAAGGTCTGGGGAGTATGGTGGGGAAAAAACAACTTCGACGCTCAATTCGAGTGGTGATTCGTGAAACATATGGACGGACATTTTCGTGGAGTAAGATCGAAACACCTGTTGGCGAAATTTTTGACACATTTCGTCGATTTCCTGACGATAGAACTCTGCTGTGATGGTTTGATTGTTGGAGAAAGTTATAGTGAAGCACACCAGCCGCTGACCACCATCATTGTCTTTTTTTGGTGAGTTTTCGCCTCTGGAAGTGCCTGACTCACTCATTGGTGTTAAATCACTGTCCTAAACGTCTCTTGTGGTAGAGGATCCATTTTTCATCACACGTGACGAGGCACTCGAGAAAAAGATCGTTTTGATAGCGCAAAAGCAAAGAAGAACAGACCTCGATACGTGACAATTTCTGTCGATCTTTCAAATAGTTGGGCACCCACTTTCCTAGCTTTCTGACCTATTCAATACGTTTTAAACCATCAAAAACCGCATGGGAGCTGACGCCCAGTTCTCACGCACCGTTTGTGATGGGTCAGTCTTTACCAGGGTTCTCAAATCCTCGTCCTGGATTACCGTAGGTCGACCATTTCTGGGCTCATCTTCGATGCTCAAATCTCCGAAACGAAATTTCACAAACCAACGTCAAACAGTAGGGCAACCTGTTGTACCTTGGACAGAGTTGTACCTAGAACAATCTTATTTTTTTCAAAAATTTCGCGCCTTTAAGAACTGTTGTCTATGTTGATCCGCATTAATGTGAAGTTATTTGCGTTTCGCCGGCGCCGTGAGAGTACAGCTAAAAAAGATAATTTAATTGTTTCATACTCAAACAGTAAGTTTTTTAGGCTTTACTTTATTCCAATTTATTTAAAGTGTTGCATGTTTGTGGAACCCGTCTTATATAAAATCTAATCTTAGTATATCTAGCTACTAGACGGCATGAGTGTCAGATCATAACCTCAATCGCATGTGGGTTTATCAAGCTTGTAGAGTGAAGTTATCGCGATGTTATACCTTAGCCACCGAACTTGCGATGTACCTACCTCGGTCACTGGCCAAGGTACATCATTTCGGTCGGAATTAGGTCAACAGTTATTTACATAAGTCTTTATGAGTAAAATCGTATTGTATTAAA